ATGTAAAAGAGAGGCCTCTTGGTTCACGTCAAACTCTGCTGTGGTTTTTGGAACATTTCAACTTTGTGGTCAGCTTTCCTGTTGTTGAATAACTGCAGCTGTGTAATAACTCTGTCAATTCCAAGTCTGCCCACCCCCCCCCCCGGGTATTTGATGGCAATATCGCTAATAAAATATAATTTTGACGCCATCCTATGAGTGGGGCATTCGTACTTTTCTCATGGCCCCACCATGGGGATTTTGTATGCACCAGCCTCCCCAAAGTGGAACATTTGCCACCTTCTGAAAACAAAATGTCAAATGCCCATCAAATGCCCAGCAGGAAGAGGGTGGGGGAGGGGGGAAGGGAATGAACAGCCAGGCTCGGAATTGACTGAGCTGTAACTGAGTAGCTACTGGAGGACTTCAGTGAATAGACTCTCCTCCACCCTTACTGTGAACTTAGTAAGGGAAGGGTGGAGTAGGTAGGGGGGGATTTCAGGTCAGGTGGAAGAATAGTTGTTTTTGGTTTATCTCTTGGATGGGCTACATTATTCTGCATAGCGGTATATTTTAAATCTGCTAAGTATGAAATTTCCTCCCTCTCTCAAGGAAAACTGGATGTCAACTTTACATTTTAATGAGCCAATAAATTATTCTAATAGACCAATTTCGACATGTTAAAATTCAGCCTAACACAATAGACCTCAGCATTGAGAATAAAACCCACAAACTCTGAAGTTATTCCCTAGAGCCTTGTGCTGAGTGTGACAAGAGCTCACTCTGAGATCACGTGTACCACATGATATAGTGATTAAGTGATCATTTTGCAATGCTTGAATCAGAGATTTTGTAGATGGCTCACCTAGTTCAATAACGGGCAGCTTTATCTGAAATAAGTCTCATGTTTAAGGCTGAACGAAGCATTGAGGTCTATTGTTTTAGGCTAAATTTTAATATATCGAAATTGGTCTATTAGTTCATTGAAGTCTGTGCTGCTTCATGTTCACTACCTGCTGCCATTAAAAGAACTAAATTATTTGTCAAAACCTTTACTAGTAGCAAGTAGAGGGCATGGACCAACTTGAACTACACTACGGTCAATATTTATTGCCTTTGCTTGTCCAACCTGGCTTCGCAGGTCATGCCTAGCATATGGAGAACTATTGTTACAAATATCGGAAACTATTAGATACATCAACTAAGAGCTCAACCAAAGCTCTT